AATCCTGAAGAATATCAAGATATCAATATAGATATCAATATCAATATAGATATCAATACCATTTGGATAATATAGCTATTATAATATATCTATTATCCAAATGGTATTGATATTTAAATGATATCCAATATCCAAATGCATATTGATATCTAAATGCATATTGAATACCTGTATGAATATCTATATCCAATACCAAATGAATATTGAAAACCTGTATGAATCCTGAATAACTCTGTTGAATATCTATATGGATATTGAATATCTAATTCTAATATCTGTATAAAGATTGAATAGCAATATCAAATATCCATATGAATATTGAGTATCTATGTCTAACCTATATACAGATATTGGATACTTATGCAAATAGTGAACATGTGTATCAAATATCTATATTGATGTTGAATATCTACATGGATATTGAGTATATATATCAAATATCCATATAAATATTGAATATCTATATCTAATATCCAAATGAATATTGAGCATTTCTATCTAATATATGTCTATAGAATATCTATTCTAATATCTATATGAATATTGAATACCTACATGAATATTGAATACCCATCTCTAATATCTAAGTTACTATTGAATACCTACAGGAATACAGAATATCCCAATGCCCACCTTGCCCAGACCCCGGAGCCCTGTGAGGAAGCAATTAAATAATTAACAATCTCCCAGAGTTACCTGTTATCTCCATGCCCTTGTCAGAGTCCCCTGGGTATCCTGGGCTGGCCATGACCACACACACAGCAGTTCTGTTCTCCAGCCAGGCTGGCATGCAGCTGCAGAGTTTGCCATCAATTGTTGCTTGAATCACTTCATAAAAATCATTTTTAAGCAGAGGGAGAATTACCTGTAGAAAAGTTTTCAGAGTGATGGAAGTTTATTTTTATTTTGCTGGCTTGTTGAAGTTCACCTTAGGGAAAATTCAGTTGATGGAATACAATCTGTATGTGCCAAGCCAGTTTTCCCTTGGAAACTCTGGGTTTTAATTTAATATTAGCAGCACCTTTTGGAACCAAAAAATTTAGAAACATAAGGTGTGAGCTTATGTAGAATGAACATGAATTTAGGCCTCTCCCATTCTGCTTCTCTCCAGAAAAAACAAAATCTGAGGAACAGATGTTTTAACTAATAAAACAGGAGCTGACAAGTCAAAATGTTACCTCAGACATTGTCTAAGATGTTCACATCCAGATCTTTCCCTAGAAATAAACTACAACAGGAAGAGGTAAAAAATGGAGCAACTTTAATTTTCCAGTGTGTTCCACTCACCTGACACTGGGGATCCCCAAATTGGCATTTAAAGTTTAAAATCTTCACCCCCTCTTTGGTCAGCATCAAACCTGTTTGCAGCACACCTGGACACAAAGCCAAGCAAATGAACTTAAACATTTATTTATTTCTTTCTTTGGAGAACTCCTTTAAAAGAAACAGAGCATTTTGGAGCATTCTGGAAATCAGAAGACATTAGGAGCAAGAGTTCTGCAAGCCACAATAATTCCCAAATATCCATAAAAGTGACAAGTGGCCACCTGAGGAGCAGGGCACCACATTTTAAACCCCACAAAGCAAAGGTTCTCTGGCATCGTGCACCCAACTCCATTCTTACTCAGGCACTGTAAAAAAGGCCCCAAAAAGCAGAATTTGAAGATGTTGGTGGGAGCCAAACTCTTTGGAGGTCTGAGATCTCCTCAGTGCCAACAGCAGCCCTTGGCATTAAGTGGCACCTGTGGGCACCACCTGCCTTTTCCAAAACAGCCTCTGGATAAAGATCTGGAGAAAATGGACATTGTTGTATGTGTAGGAGTGAGCAGTACTGCAGGACTGAAGTGTATGTCCTGCCCTGAACTGCAAATAAATTTGTTTTATTTATTTGTTTTATTTCAAAATATTTAATAAAATCAAGCTGTTTTAAGGAAACAAGGCCAAGGTTCTCTCCCAAACAAAGAGCTGTGAACCAAACTGAGTGAAGCTTAACACTGTGTCCTGGGTTGACTATATGATGCTTTTATCCCCAATCGTCTCATTCTGTTTATGTTGAATAATAATAAGTTTTGTACCTTTAAGAGTGTTACAGAGAGTGAAGAGGGAGAGAGAAGAAGCGCGCAGTTTGTTTTCAGACACTGC